TCCTGTGGGTCCTGGGCAGCCTGATCTAGTGGGTGGCAACCAGTCCATGGACCTGAGCGTGACATTCCCATCTGTTCGCTTTTCAACCATTTTTTAAACAATACAGAAGACAGTCTAGCATTCTAGAGCTTGAGCTTGTCTATTATAGATGGGGTTTACAATTGGACACTAACTGTGATTAGTATTTGCACTGCCTCTTCACAGAAAACTATTATGCCATTGTCTGCTAAACTGATTTGCTGAATTACAGCTTTCAAGTGGGTAAAAACTATTTCAGTTAAGACAATCAACTTAGGATTTAATACTATCAACAATTCATACACAGTGGTAACTACTTTTTTTTTTTTTTTTTTAAAGAAAGTAGTATACTTCATAAAATATCCTCTTTCACACCTACCATTAAGTATGTAAACATTTTCTGGAGTTCTAATAGAGTGGTCTTGTGTTTCATATCTTCTGAATACTGAAAGAAAGTGACAAAAGAAGCCTTTATCTTTTTGCTTATAACTTCCCAAAGTAGCCCTTAAGATGATGAATAAATAATATTTTAAATTAATAAAAAGCAAACAAACAACAAAACAAACTAGCCCACCTCTACTGTGATCAAAAAAATAATAGTGCGTATGAACACTGTACATTATTTTACACCTATATATAGCAGTTCCTGCATATTTTTTGGCATGACAACATTAGCAGTGTGTCAAAAGGTAACTCAATTTTCTAAAAATTTACTTCAATTGCCAGCTTTTTGAATTTATTAGAAAAGACTACGGTGATTTTTGATTTTTTTTCTTCCCAATTCATTGATGCGGATGGGAGTTCTAATCAATTCTCTATGGAGTACCTTTCACTTGCAGACCACTAGCTTCCTTTTTTAGTTTACTTCATATTTTTATATATAAATGCCTAGTAATAGATGAAGTTAAGTTACAACGAACAGTAAGTTAATGATAATGAAAAATGATGGGTTCACCACCAATTTGGGTCTTTCACAAATTATACATACCCTGTTTTTTGTTAGGGACCAAATGAAACTTTGTCAAAAAAAAGTAACTACAACTAGTACCACATTTCCAGAGTGCGTAATAATTTATGAAACTTGCAATACTTTTGGTAGCACAGCAAGCATGCTAAGGGGTTTTAAAAATATTTAAAAATGACATTTATGTTGAGAAATTAAGATAAGAAGCAACACACAACTCACATAAAAACAAACACAGTTGTTGACAGCAACAGAAACATGAGTTTGAGTGTATGCTTTCTTATAATGCCACCTTAAGAATACAGTGCATTACAAATACATATTTTTTAGAATCTCTTCACCTTAGACATCAGCAAAAGAATCCAACCAAAAGATAAACAAAAGTGTTGAAGAGATATTTGTTTGCAAGCAATAAGTCATAAATCTATACTTTATCAGCCTTTGCATTGATATTACATTTCAACTTCTAACACAATCCAAATATGGAATGTAAGATCCCAACCATACCTTTGCAGTAAAGATTGCTTGTCTGGCTTCTGGTATCATATATAGTTGCTGAATAGTTGATGCCAAGTAACAGGTTGCTCCCAGGTTAGTCAGACCCACAAATCGACATTCAGCTCGAACATCATCATGAGGCCAATAATCCCACTTGTAAGGTGCATGGGAAGCTGAAAAGTATGAATTACAGATGCACAAAAAATATTCAAAGTTAACTTCCAAAGATAGTAATTAAAAACTTTATGCTTACGTTAATAAAATACATTCAGTTTCTACATTCTGCATTATCAAATATGAGTCAGACTGCATCTTAAGAAAATGCATTACGGATATACATCAGGAATGTAATTTTACTATTTCAGTACATGAGCCAGCATGAAGCATCTAGAAAGGTGAGAGACCACCAAGAAGTTAGATGTAAGACTCTGAAAGGCAGCTCTATATGTTTAATTGCTAATCACTGGGTAACAAGAAGTGTAGCAGCACACAGACTATATTTTACTTGCAAGTGATTTGGTACTTTTACATGAGTCTGCTGTTTTCTCCAAAAAGAGAATGCAGCAAGTGTGAGCTCTTACAGTTGTTCTAGGGTAGTATTACATGAAGTAATGGTCTTCTAGTCTCTGACTTTAAAATAACAGTCATTAAAAATCGTGATGCTTTCATCATCAAGAGCATCCATACATTCTAAATAGTAGTTACTATACATTTTTATAAGAAAGCTGTTTTCATACTTGATTCTGGATATTTTTTTTAAAGTTATCATTATTTATACCTCTTGCTGTGTAACAACTTCAAGGCAAGGCTGTTACCCACACAATAATCTAGAATTCTTTCTCCTGACCACTGACAACAAACAGGAGATATGAAAAATGATGCCTAGGCTCTTTCCTTAGCTTTTCATTAAATGCACTGCATTGATAATAAGTGCTGCTGTTAAGAGAATCATGCAAAAACTTTAACTAAAATGGAAGCAAACCAGCTCCTCAGCCAACCATAGCACATGCTATGTTTTAAGGAACAGCAGGATTTTGAGTTGAGGGACATAGTTTAGTGAGTACTATTGGTAATAGGTAGATGATCTTACAGGTCCCTTCCAGCCTAAGCCATTCTATGGTTCTATGAGAATGCTGTTCTGAAACCTGCTTCTCTTCTGAAAATAAAGATCTTGCTTCATGTGGGGTTAGTAAAATGCAGATATATATTTTGCTCCCTATGTTTGGGTACGGAAACAATGTTTTGTTTTCTTTCAGTGTGACTAGACAGTACATGTGAATGGGTAGTAGAAATAAATTTGTGTCTATGGGAATGACTGATGAGTCTGCGTTGTACATTACCAATTCCCATTATGTTGTCAGTGTTGCTGGTTTAGGCAGTGTATGCATTGTGAGAAAAAAAGCATATCACAGAATCACAGAATCACCAAGGTTGGAAAAGAACTTCAAGATCATCCAGTCCCAGCCCCCCCTGCTACGTGCAGGGACACCTCCCTCTACAACAGGTTGCTCGCAACCCCATCCAGCCTGGCCTTGAATGCTTCCAGGGAGGGAGTATTCAAAACCTCAGTGGGCAACCTGTGCCAGTGTTTCACCACCCTCACAAGACGGTAAAGAATTTCTTCCTAATATCTAGTTTAAATCTACCCTTTTCAAGTTTAAAACCACTTCCCCTTGTCCTGTTGCTACCTGCCCTAATAAAAAGTCCCTCCCCAGCTTTCCGGTAGGGCCCCTTCAGGTACTGGAAGGCTGCTATAAGGTCCCCCTAGAGCCTCCTCTTCTCCAGGCTGAAGCGCCCCAGCTGGGAGGTGCTCCAGCCCTCTGATTATCTTTGTGGCCCTTCTCTGGACCCACTCCAACAACTCCATGTCCTTCTTGTGTTGGGGGCTCCGTAACAGGGCACAGTACTTCAGATGGGGTCTCATGAGAGCAGAGTAGAGAGGCAGAACCACCTCCCTTGACCTGCTGGTCTCATTTCTCTTGACACAGCCCAGGATGCAGTTGGCCTTCTGGGCTGCAGGTACACGTTGCTGGCTCATGCTGAATCTCTCATCAACTGACACTCCCAAATCCTCCTCAGGGCTGCTCCCAAGCCATTCTCTGCCCAACCTGTATCTGTGCTTGGGATTGCCCTGACCCAGGTGCAGGACCTTGCACTTGGCCTTGCTGAACTTCATGAGGTTGGCACGAGCCCACCTCTCACGTCTGATTCATCAAATCACATTTATAAGAGAAACCAGATGACTTCTTTATACTTGATGAGAACACCTGGACTATTGCATATGTATCTGACAAAGGGCTTTCAGGAATTTTAGAAGAAGTTTCTCACAAGAAATTATTTTGTCCCAGGGAACATAAACTAGATAACATTTAACAAGGTGCATTTTCAAAACTGCACTATATTGCAGCATTAAATTTTAAGCAATCTCTAAGAGCATCCTAGCTTCAGTTGGTTACAGTATGACGAAAAAAGCTGCAGAATAGAAGGGACAACAACTGATCAGACCACATGGTGACAAGCTGTAGGACTGAAAATTTCTCCACTGAACAGCAAAACGAAAATGTTATAACCAACAACAGGATGGAAATTAGGAGAAGCATTAAGGAAGATCTTACTAAGTAGCTAAGTGAAAATAACTAGGTGAAAATAACAACTGTAATAATCATTACAGAAAAGTTTAGTTGCTAGAAATTACTGGAATCTGGGTTGTAAAAAATATATCTCCAAAAAAATGATTGACTGCAAGAAATTGACAAGTTCAGCAGCAGCAGATATACTTCCAGCTACCAGAAATAATGGGTAATTTGACAAATCATACTCTCCATAGTTTTTCCCCTAAATATAGACATATTGGAGGTTTCTGAGAAGGCTTCAGGCATACGAGTACAGGACACAGCACATTCTCAACATCAGATTTCCCTTTAGCTTTCTGAACTGTAAGGCACTGAAATCAATTCCACAGATAATAATAAATAAAAAATCCTCAGTTTACTGAAATTTAAGCTGGGCATATGAAAGAAACTCTATCAAGCTAGAAACGTATAATAAAAATTTGCAAGTAAAAACCAAAATATTATCTAAATTCAGATTTTTGTTATTTGCTTATTATGCACAGAAACTGAGTTTTTAAAACATAGGAAGCAGGAAAGCTAAGAGGAGTAACAAAACTGTATTAACACTGTACGCAGACATCTGAGTGCAGATGAAATTCAACTGTAAAGATATGAGGGACTCCAAAAATATGACAGTGCTGTTAATAGTCAATCCATTTGCTGTATCTTGGTCAGTGTGTTTATGAATTTTGGTTCAGGTATAGATTTTATTTCTTCACGATAAGAAGGCAAGACAAATGAATGTCCAGCAGAAGACAGTGAAGCATGTGAAACCCACTCCAGCAATGCTACCTATCTATTTGTACCATTTAAGAGGACTGCATCCTTTAATTAACCAGAATTTAGGAACGGATGATAAAAAAATTATACATGTGAGTAAATCCACTCTTTTGTTAAGCAAACAAAAGATGCCTATGTCTGTTAAATGACACTACTGCAAGTAATGATGGGTAACTAGTAGCACTACAAAGGGAAATTTTAAAAGAAGTGTTAGTGGCAGCAATGTCTTACTTTATTACTACTTTTGGAAAGTACAGATATCTAGATTAACCTAAAAAAAAACACAAAAAACAAACAACAATGCAGTGTTGCCTTTAAATTTCCTTGTTTCCACCTAAGCATTCTCAACAAGCTATTATTCTTAGTCATTACACAAAGACGCTTATGTACTTCAGGAGAAAACAAACTCCATGATCACAGTACTTTTCACAGTGTTGGCTCACCATCACGAACGTGCAGAGTCTCCAGAATAGGAGTTCATATAACAAGTACAGTCCCATTTTCTTCAAAGTACTTGATAAATTCAGAAATTGAAAACCAAACCAAACAGAAAATGCAAAAGAGCAGCCTTCCCACAAAATACTCAAAAACTATGTATGTATGAAGGTTCTTACACTGCATATGTTGTGCCATAACCCAGTTGTGGAGTAGCCTGTAGTTTTCAACGGACCCCTTTACCATTTCTACCAACAAGTCATATGCAGCAGCCCTTGAAGAATGTGACTTGCATTTTGGCTGTTGTCTATCTTTTAAACTTGGCAGCAAGAACAAAAGATTGAAGATGTCTCTCAGAAACTCCTGTAAAACAATTCAGTCAGCAGACTTAGTAGTGTGGATACAATCTTAAAAAGATAGCCATTACCAACATTCTAGAAATTTCTGTAGACTTTCTGGACTCTATCACATACAGAAATTCTGACAAGTTCTGAATTGCAAATTAGAACAATTTTCTTTGCATCACATAAATTTCTTTATATTACATAACATACTTACAATACAGCCTAAAGAGAAACATTTCCACTGGAAAAGATTGATAGAATATGTTTATTTCATGACTGATAAGTCAGTTTGACAAACTGCATACACGCATTTTCAGTACCTTTTAAGATTAGTTTGTTGTAGACAGCATATAAACTTACTTGCTCTGCTAGTTTGAGTTTTATGAACCACTAATTAACCATAAAACAAGCACTGAATTCTACAAAATATGTACTGCAAGCTTATTTTTGCATTCTTACTTACCTGGAATTTTAACTAACTAACTAAATAAATTTGATCACAACTTAGTCTACTGGCAACGCCAAATTGTTTTAGATAATTGTTTTAGATATGCTGTTGACACTCATCCATTCTTAAAAGCAAATTTTTGGCCTTCCTATGATATATTACACACAAGCAATGTTTTTTAAGACTCTGTACAGCATACTCCTCTCAACTAGGCTTCCATTCTATATTCTTCTCATACTCTTCACACATCCAATCTACATAAATCTCATCTTTGCCCACCTCTTCTATTTAGTTTCTACATAATCCTCCCTTTCAAATTTCAAGTTCTATGAACTAAATTTAATGCTCTAATTTGTAACCTCTCCATTTTTGGAACACACTAATTCTAAGAGCAACACATAGTAGTCTTTTAAAGCTTTAACAACTTCCAGACAGTAATAGCACTTTTGGAATCATTTTATGATAAGTAAATAGACAAGGCACGCCATGTAATGTAGTGTAACAGGCTGTTCTGCTGGTGACAGCTCACTAAAGGTCTTATCACAAACACAGTATAGTCTACAGAAAAACATGTCAGTTGAAGTCAGCTTTTACAGCTGGCCTTACGTGCAAGTATCTGTTTATCCAAGGGACTTGGCAAAGTCACTTCAAAATTCAGACAACAATTTCTCTTCACCAATAGCGTGGCCCCACAATACAAAGCAGGAAGTTTAACAGCTTCCACTGCCTGACCACTCTCCTACCTTACAGTGACAGGCAGAATGTAGCATTCCTGTAACAGACGTTTGCCACTAAATATAGAGCTTCAAAACTATTTTTAGATCAGAACTACCTCAGGATACAGTTAAAAAGCAGCTGTTAAAGATTTTTAAGATAGTTAATATCGAAAATCACTAAGATAAAAACTCTATCCTGAAATGAAATATATTTAGAAAGGGAAGAGAGTAAATGTTCTACATATAAATAAAAGAACGAGAGATATGTATGTTCTGATCAGTTATCCCCAAGGCTAGAAATATGACATCTTCAAATAAAAAGCCCTGCAACCAAGATAGAGAGAAAAAAAGGTGACATTAAGAAAGTGCAGTAAGATAATGCTATCTTGAAGTCTTCACAGTTCGTCACTGTTTTTTTCTTACCTGCCCTTCACGAGAAAACTTAAAGGGTGGCTTGTGCTTAATAACACTTGTAGCAAGACGAAGCAGTCCTGTAAGTCCATCATCTTCTATACTGCCATCTTGATGGTCAAGAATTTCTCTGCTATACACATACAAATATAAAAGAAATGTTAAAACTCTGTTTCTTTCACTAACATTACGTATAATACAATTTATAAAAGAAACTACTGCAGCCAAACCATACCTCCGAATGCAGTCAGCAAGATGTCTTGCTAGGGCATCTAGATCAAGCAGCGTGGTCTGATTAAAAAATAAACAAAATGGAATTTAAAGGGAAGAGAATTATGTACTTTAAGAGTTATAACTTGCAAGCTCAGTCTGAAACTATGATTATGCTTTTGGATAAAAATGTGTTAATGCACACAGAATATCAGGACCAGTGAAAACTCATCTTGCCTTCCTTCCCAGAATACAGTCAGAGCACTGAGAATAAATTAGAGATTTATGCAGTACCAGCAGCTAGCAAAAACAACTGCAGAAGGTGCCTAAAAAAATAACTTCAACCCTTGTTGAAGTTTCAAAAGATATGAATAGCTTTCCTGACCTTAACAGCTAAATGGCTGTTAACTAAAATTTTTTCTCTTGTATTTCTGCCTCTCTAGACTGTACTGAAATTATCAACAACCAATCTCTCCTAAGTAATTACCATATTCACTGTGTCTCTGATTCACACAGTTCACATTCCTTATGTATTATACCCAATCCCCTCTTCTCAACTCTGCAACGCGTGTACCTTGCAGCTTCCTTTGGTCAAGAGCTGCTAAATATACATCAGAAAGTAGAGAAGGGAATGACCCAAGAGCTGTTCCTCAAAATTCACCATATCTTCAGTAAAAACATCTAACACTCATGTAAAAGTAATCTAAATACCCAAATTAAAAAAAGCAAACATTTTTATGACTGCAAAGCAAAACCTACCTGACTTGCATCTTTGACATGTATGTTATCGATCAGTTTGCACAGCAGCCAAAAATATTCCTTACAACCTGGTCGTAGCACTGGTTCTTCTTCATAGTCTTCAATCTGTGAAAAAAAAAAAAAAAAAAAAATAGCTTTTCAAGAATCTATTACCAACTGCTAGTATTAACTTTGTCCTCATATTTCACTACCATACAAGGCCAAGGAGAGACTACCCCTCTAATGAAGTAGAAAAGAGGCCACAATGGACCTCTCATTGTGGATACTGAACAAGATCTTTGTCTCAGTCTTCACTGGCATTCAGGCTTCCCCTGCCTCTCAAGTCCTTAAACCTCTATGTGGGAGCTGGGAAACCAAAAGATCTCCCACTTAAAGAAGAAAGCACGATCAAGACTGAATGTGACCGAGCCCGAGGCCCAATGACATGCATCACAGACTCCTGAAAGAACTGACTGATGTAGTAACCAAGTCACTCTCCAACATACTCAAAAAAAATTCACGGCTTTAAGAAGAAGTCTCTGCTGACAGGAATAAAAACTTCTTTTCAAGTTTTAATAGAGAGAGAAAGGAAGATCTGGAGAACTGTAAGATGGTGAGCCTTATGTGTGCATATGGCAAGATTGTGGAACACATCCTCCTGGAAGCCTTATTAAGATACATGTGAGACAAGAAGTTGATGCAAGACAGCCAGAATGGCTTCATCAAGGGCAAGTTTATGCGTGACCTGATCTGGTGGCCTTCTATGATGGAGTAATGGCATCAGTAGACAAAGCAGAATGAGGAAGAGCAAC